ATAAATTGTTTTTGTATAGCCCTAAAGACAGCCATGGAAAGAATCAAACTTCCAGAAATAATGATCAAAATAATCTTAAATTTTTTCAAGGCAAACAATTCAGAATAATTACACACTAGAGTTATACAGAAGCATTTGTAATAAATGATAGAATAAAACAGGGTAAGGTGCTTTTACCTTTAGTATGGAGAATTTTTTATAATTCTTTGCTCAAGAAAATCCAAAAAGACCTAAACCTAGGCTACACAATAGAAGTTTCAAATCTATACAACAATAGCTTAAACTACTCAACAAAGACAAGCTGAAGACAAGCAGTAGTAGCTTTCACAAATGATATAACATAAATAGCAAGTAGTCAAGAGCAAATGAAGCAGATATTACAAATTGCAGAAAATTTTTTTGAACTAAATAATATTCAAATAAATAGAAAAAAATCAAAGCTAATACAGTCACATCCTCCTAAGTATACGCTCTGAGGACCAGGTATAAGTATGCACTTACAGGAGGTGTGCATTTATAGAATTAATTTAAATGACCAATCAAAATTGATGTCAACCATGTGATCAACACTTTAATAGTTTTAAATAAAATTTTATATAGAATTAAAGTTGTGGATTATAATGAAATTGGATTAAAATAAAATACAGGTTTTCTATTTAAATTCTAAAGCCTACTTATATTTGTTTAATATAAATTCTACTCTAAAACTAACCTTCTAATACTAAAAAATGCACATTTTTTTATGCCATATATCATTTAATCTGATTTCATTAGTCAAAGTAATGAAATAAAACTGAAAAAATAGCAATATTACATTTTAATCTATTTGATCTTATATCACATTGTCAGAGTTGTTAGTACTATAGTAAGTTATCTGTAAGTTCCTATAAAATTATTATTTTTTAGCAACTTATCATGGTAACTTACAAGTAATTTACACATAACTTACTAGTAATTTATGATAAGTTTACAGCTTTGAGTATGCTTATGATTTCTAAAAACAAAATATATTTTGTTTATAACCAAATTAGATGAGACTTTAAAAAAAATTTTCATATATAATATTAAAAACTTGATTTAATTATGATCTGCAACATCTATTCTAATTGAAAAAAGTTTTTTTTTTTAATTCTCAAGAATAGATACTGGTACTATTCTAAAACCAGAATCTCAGGTTCTTAAGCCTCAAGAATTACTTTGTTTAAATTGTTCATAAAAAAATTCAGTACTAGTAAGTAGAAATTTGCTCATATCAAATTTAATTTAAATTATTAAAATACTTTTTACTAACTTATTACTTCTTGTTTGATTATTTAAACATGCTCAAACAGAACATGTATTTCATTATTTACATTAACATCTCATGAGATATAATCTTTATTTGTTATTAATTGCTTATATTACAAAATAAAGATCTGTCTCTAATAGTAATGACCCAATTAGCCTGATAAATTCAATGACCTTTCTTGAACTTACCTAATTTAAATGCATTAAAGTTCTTTAAATATAACTTATTTGTAAAAATGGCATATTGCTAAAAACCAAAAAAAAAAATTAAAATAGGCATACTTCTTAAATTTATATGATAAAAATTATAAAAAAAAATTACTTAAATAACTTATCTTATATGTAATCTAGTTTTTTTGTTCAAAAAAATGCCTAAGAGAACAACTCTTACTGATTCACAAAAACATGAACTTTCTGTTTATACCCATGATAATAAAAAAACTTAGTCTCAATATGTTGAATAGATTGAGAACAAATGGGGCCTTAAAGTTGATGAAAACACAATTTCATATATTTTGAAAACAACTGAAAAATGACTTGATGATAATAATATTAATTTTAATACAAAGTGTCACAAAGCTGTTACTTATTTAGAACTTGATCTTGTTCTTAAAGAGTTTGTATTGATTTATTAGCATCAAATAATTTTAACTGATGTTTTACTTGTTGAAAAAGCAAAAATAATTGCTGATGGTTTAGAGATTTCTTAAGATGTACTAAGTTTTTCTCTTGGCTGGCTTTATAAGTTCAAAAATCGAAACAGCATTCGTTTACATAAACTTCAAGGTGAATCTGCATCTGCTAATATAGTAGTAATTAATAACATTATACCATTTATAAAGAATATGTGCTCTAATTATCCTCCTGAATGGATTTACAATATAGACAAAACTGGGCTTTTCTATTAGTATAGCATATACATTTTTAAATAAAATAAAATCTAAATAGATTTAGATTTTTCTTTTTGTATAAACCATATTATTAAAATTTACCTTTAGGTTAGAACCTAATTATACATTGGTAACCTAACATCTTTTTGAACATAAAATAAGTAAAGAATAGCTTTTGATTGCATTGTATGCAAATGCTAATGGCTCTCATAAACTAAATCTTTTTATAATTAGAAAATATAAAAAACTGCACTGTTTTAAAAATATTAATGTTAGTAATTTGGCAATAATATATAGAAACAGTTCTAAAGCTTGGATGATTATATGAATAGGTTTTTGAATTTGATCGCCAAGTCGGTTTAAAGTATTGGAGCCAATGTGTGTTCTTACTTCTTAACAACTGCTCTAGCTATAATATTAGTAATATTACTCTCAGATTTACTAATGTTTTATTTTTGCCTTCAAACACAACTTCAAGAATTCAGCCTATGGATGCTAGTGTTATCATTAATTTCAAAAGGAACTATTGTCAACTTCATGTTTGGTAAATTTTTTTTTTAAAAAAAAAATTCAAATCAATTAAATTAGATATTACACTAATTAGGTCATTTTTTTAAGTTAAATATTACATGAAGTTTTTTTTTTTTTTTTTTTTTTGTTAAAAGCTATACTTGTGATGATACTTTATTGACTTTATATCGGGTTAGCTATTACAACTATTTTTACAAAAATGAGAGTATAGCTAGTTACATATGCAACTTTTGGTTGCCTATTTAAGTAGTTCACTCTAAGGTTCTACACTAGATGCTATACCTATAACCTACTAGAAGATTATCTATTTTAAACCCTCTGATCATTCGCCTTGTCATATTGAAATTCCCAACTAACCTCCTATATATACCTAACCGGTATACCGTCTGAGCAGTATGGTACCTATCCTTTTTGTACTGGTTCCTAGGCTGTTACATATTTCAGAGTATGTTACCTGCCAGTAAGATGCAGAGAGCCTCCTGTTGTTAACTATCTATCTACTTTTAGAATACTAACACAGGCTACTCTTGCAGAGTTCATTCAGACTCCAGTACTGACTTCACAGCATATCTCTAGTACTTTTAGTATACCTCTGCTTTGAACCAAGACTCCCAATTCAGATAGCCCAGAAGGACTGTAACCTGTCCTTAGTATATTAAGGCTGGCCCAATATTCTTTTCCTTCAGTCCAAAATCTGGCGGTCTGGTTGGTGGTACCTCTCACCTGAGGTTCTTGTCTGCCTGAATCCTTTATATTAGTATCCATTTCCTAGGTCTAGCCTTTACAGTAGTACTGTTAAAGATCTGTGTTACCTCTTTGCTTGGAATTTTCAAGTAGGCTCTGGCTTCCTAGTTCTACAGATTTACACAGCCTAAGGACTTATTTTAGGTTTGCACCACCTGGTACCAGTTTGCATTCCTCTGTGTAACAGGTTACACAGATGCCCAGACCTGCCAGTTATGCTGGTGCGACCATAATTACAGGTATCTTATCTCAACTGATCGACAGAATACCATCACCATAATACCATCTATATATTACATAGGTGATTATCCAAATTTCACCATTAGTAGGTTTTGAACTCACAGCCTACCACTTGGAGGTATGACAACTTATCTACTTCATTAAGTCACCACATCCTTATGTTACAAGAAGTTGAAAATAGATAATGCACAAAAGATTTAAAAATGAATGTGTTATAAGCAATCTGTTTTGCTATTCAAAAGTAAGATGAAGTTAAAACTAATACAATCTGAAATTGCTGATATTACATGGAAATTCTTTCTGCAGTTAATGACTTTGACTCAAGTTCTTTAGAAGATTTTCATCAAACTACAGATCTTATAGTTAATAATATTGCCAATGCACTTAAATCTCTTGGTCTTCCTAACCCTATGAATGTTAAAGAGTACCTTGCAATTTCTGAAGAAAATATCATTTATGAAGTTCTTTCTGATAATCAAGTTATTATGGAGCTTGTTGAAACCTTCAAAACAGATGACCCAGTGGATGCTGACTTGGAAGATGCTAATGATAGTTTTGAAATCCCTATTGTTAGTGTCAACATGAGCAACCGCAAGTTTAAAAACTGTGCTTATGATTTTACTTTAGCAGGATAATACAGAAAAATATATTAATCTTATAAAAAAAATTAAAAATTTTATCAAAAAGACGAAAGTTGGCTATATGCAGCAGAGTAAAATTGATCAATTTTTTATAAAAAAAAATTAAATAATAAATTGTTAACTATTGTTTGGGCAGCATAGATTTTTTCTTCCTCTGTTTGTTACTTTTCAGTAATTTAA